ATACAGTAGTGCCAAACTTACAATTTTTAGTTATAAATTTTATATCAGCCAACAACATAATTCTATCTAGATTCAATTTATGATTATGAGTAAAATCTATTTTGTTGATTATTATAGAGTTCTGTATATTGTTATTTTGAAACAAGAAACTTGATATGAAAAGGACACTGGGTCTTTTTAGTATTCATATCCTTTTTTGTATTTGATTCATAAAAGCCTTCATGATTACATAAATAAGTTCTTTGATGAAGAACTTTATTTTCTCGACAAATATGACCTTTAACAAGACAAAATCCTCTATTCTTTGCCTATTTATTGAGGAATAGCTTACATTCTTCCTATGTATCAAACTCTTTTATAAAAAATAAAGATGATAATTTGATTTTAGTTTAAAATAACCCATTATCATGACTCTCTACAGATTCTAAAAAAATATTAATATATTAATATCATATTTCATCCTTATTATTTATAAACAAACTCTTAATACACCTGTCTTAAATTTAAAGTTAAAAGAATTCATAGCTTCTTTATATATAACATGATCATTTGATTTTTATTCATAAAATATAATCCCTTTGTCTCTTTTTTTATAACAAGGAAATTTTTTGATTCTTCATTTATAGCAAAATGTAAATGACAAGTAGCTCTTCCAGAAATCAAAATTTTAGTTTAAAATTACTATAGTTATCCAAATATTACTTATACTATCAAATAAACAATATACATTTGCTAAAATAAATAACATTAGACAAAGAGTTATTATCAAAATCAGACACTTATAAACTAAAAAAGAAAAGTATGATTGTTGACATTGACTTTGAAGTTTTTGCTTTGATAAAACTATGCATCTGCACTTCAATGAAATCATACACTTGCACTTCAATAAAACCACACACCTGCACTTCAATAAAACTACACACCTGCACTTCAATAAAACCACACACTTGTACTTCAATATAACTACACACTTGTACTTCAACAAAATCACACACTTGCACTTCAACAAAATCATACACTTGCAAAACCTAGAAGTTGAAGCCTTTACAATATATACCTGCTAAAATAAAGAATATTAGACAAAGAGTTATTATTAAAATTAAATACTTATAATACTAAATTCTAATACAAAAAAGAAAGTATGATTGTTAATATTAACTTTGGAGTTTTTGCTTTAATAAAAGTATGCATCTGCACTTTAACAAAACCACACACCTGCACTTTAACAAAACTATATATTTGCATTTTAACAAAACTACATATTTGCACTTCAATATAACTACACACTTGCACTTCAACAAAATCACACACTTGCACTTCAATGAAATCACATACTTGCAAAACCTAGAAGTTGAAGCCTTTATGATATATATCTGCTAAAATAAAGAACATTAGACAAAGAGTTATTATCAAAATCAAATACTTATAATACTAAATTCTAATACAAAAAAAAAAGTATAATTGTTAATATTGACTTTAGAATTTTTGCTTTGATGAAACTATATACCTGCACTTTAACAAAACCACACACCTGCACTTCAATAAAACTATACACTTGCACTTCAATATAACCACAACTTGCATTTTAACAAAATCACATACTTGCAAAACAAGAAGTCAAAGCCTTAGTTAAAATTACCACAATTATTTAAGTATTATTTATACTATCAAATAAATGATTATATCTTCTGAAATAAAGAATATCAAAAGAGTTATTATTATAATTAAATGCTCATTAACACTAAACTCTATTTATAAAAAAAAAAAGTATAATTAAAGTTGGCTTTGGGTAAAGCTTTATCCCTTAAGCTGTAGAGTTCGTGTAACAATTTTAGCTTAAAAATAGCATAAATTTAGTTATAATCTATTTTT